GGCCAGCTCAGCCCACCAGGGGGCGGGGCTGGCTGGCATGTGGTGCTGGGGGATTGAACCATGGTCCCTGGGCTTCGCTAAGCTTGTTCTAAGTAGGTGCTTTAGACCACTGAGCCATCTCACCAGCCCCGTTACAGATTTTCAAAACAGGAATGTTTGTTTAAATTTTTCTCTTTCTTTTGGTTTTTGGAACTAGGGATCAAACTCAGGATCTTGAATTTTTCAGGCAGGTGCTTATGCCACTGAGCTATCTCCCTGGCCCTAAATTTATTTCTCAAAAAAATTTTTTTTAATGGTACTAAGTCTGAGTAAAATACAGTAGTTCAGGTTGGCCCTGAACTGACCCCTCCTCTGTGCTGGTTTTATAGGCATGTAGCACCACATCCAGCTCAAAATCTGATTGATAGAAATAGATAAGGTTAGGGTGTCAGTTGGCTGGCCTTGAACTTCTGATTTTCTCTGCTCAGCATTCTAAGTGCTGGGATTACAAGCATGGCCCACTGTGCCCCGCTGAAAGATTCTTTAAATGAAAAATAACACATTGAGCTGTTAGAATGATCCAGTAGAGATAGAAATATGGGTTATAGAGATGGAGATTGGTTGGTGTTTCTTCAGTAGTGTTCTTGAGTAAGTGTGAAGGGAGGGAAATAGTGGTCAAGCAAGGGTTGCCTTTATTGGAAGAAGGTATTTCATTCAAAGTAAAAGAAAAGTATAGGGGTGTATGTCTGTAGTCCCAGCACTCAAGAAGCTGAAGGGGGAGGATCACTATGAGTTTAAGACTAGCCTGGGTTACAAAGTGAGCTGAAGGCCAGCCTGAACTACATTCATAGTAACACCATGTCTTTTTAAAAAAAAGTCAATTACAATCAAAAGTGAAAAAGAAAAGGCGTGTGTGTGTGTGTGTGTGTGTGTGTGTTCATATTATGCTGTGAGTTTGTGGAAAACCTCATTGCTGTAGTATCCTCTGAAGTTAAGAAGCTGTGACTATGGATGGGGACGAGGTTGGACTTTCAGGGAGGATGGTGTAATTTAGCTGCTGGGAGAGTGGGAGACTGGTGGCGTGGGCTAAAGAGGTGGAGTAAGTAGGTTATGGGCCTATTTGGGGCTTGTGGTTGTGACTGTAAAGTGATATTATGTAATAGTGTATATTTTCTTATCCACATATGTAGATAAACAAGAACATTGCTTTTCTTTTTTTTTAATTTTAGGGAAGGGTCTGCAGGGTATTCAGGGTCTCACTACTAGATTGGACTCATAGTGATCTGCCTATTTACAGCCTCCCAAGAGCTGGGATTACAGGCATGCGCCACCATGCCCAGACTCAATTACCATTTTAGCATGCCCTGGGGGAGGGGCCAGCATGGCAGGCCTAGGGAATGAACCCTGGTCCCTGTGCCTGGCGCTTTAATCTGCTGAGCTATGTGGCTGGCCCTAGAGCATTGTATATTTAACTGGGGGTATGATTTGGTGTATCGAGGTAAGCTGAGGGTGTGTTCAAGGAATTATGATGATTGTGAATGACCCATGGAATTTATACTCCACATGTAAGAAGTAAAGACATGAAGCAGTGAAGATTAGTTTATTTCTTTTTTCTTTTTCTTTTTGAGATAAAGTTTCACTGTGCAGTTCAGGCTGACCTTGAACTCACTTTGTAGCCCAGGCTGGCCTCTACTTACAGCCATCTTCCTGCTTCAGCCTCCAAGTGCAGGGATTATAGGCCTGCAATGCCACAGCAGGCCTGAAGATTAGTTTAAAAAGTGGTAGGATTGGGGCTGGGGAGATGGCTCAGTGGAATAAGTGCTTCCCTGGCAAGCGCAAGGGCCTGAGTTCAATCCCCAGTTCCGCAGGAAAAAAAAAAAAAAAAAAAGTAAGTGGTAGCATCAATAGTTTGAAAAAAAAGTGTTTTGTTTTGTTTTTCCCCCTAACTATTTCAAACTAGCCCCTGAGGGCGGGACTAGTGTGGCATGTGGTGTCAGAATCAAACCATGGTCTCCTGCGCCTGCCTAAGCTTGCTTAAGCAGGCACTTCAGACTGCAGAGCTATCTCGCCAGCCTGATAGTTTGAAAATCTTGATAGGGTCAAATAATATGAGTTTGGGCTGCTGAAAGAGTTAGAAAAGACTAAAACAGGGTGTGTGGAGGGGAGTAGGCCTCGTGGTCTGTAAAAAGAGATTGAAAGCCCCCCAACCCCTAAGGAGAAGAAAGAGAATGGTGTGAAATAGGTGTTAGAGTATGGAGGGTGTGGGAGAGAAAATAATTATTCCTGAGAGCTGTGTAAAGGAAATTGTGTTCCCATGGAAAAGCCATGACTCAACAAGAAGGTAAGGGAATCCTTTCTAGAAAAGGTTCAGATTTAGAGGATTTTCTGATCTGTGGAGGACAGCCATGAGAAGGATTGAAGAGATGGGAGAGCCAGAAGGCGTGGATGGAGGAGAAGCATCTATTATCACCTGGCGTAGTGAAAACATTTTATTTTTAAAAAAAATTTTTTTTAAAACATTTATTTATTGTGTGTGTGGCCCGCTCAGCCCACCAGGGGGAATGGCTGGCTGGCATGTGGTGCTGGGGGATCGAACCGCGGTCCCTGTGCTTTGCCAAGCTTATTCCAAGTATGTGCTTTAGACCATTGAGCCATCTCTCCAGCTGCCAGTGAAAACATTTTAGATAGCATTTGTTGAATGAAATTGAAGAGGAGATCCCTTAATAGCCTTTGTAATTCTGAGATTCTTTTTTCTTTAGCATTGGAGATTGAATTGAGGGCCTTCACACTGGGCTACAATATACATA